AGACTGGAATGCAGTGGCACCATCACGTTTCACTGAAGTCTGAAACTCCTGGGCTCAAGTAATCTTCCCACCTCAGTTTCCTGAGAAGTTAGAACTACAATAAGATGACTATTTGACACCCAACTGGAGATACAATAAAGGATATGAACCTGGAGTTCAGGGGAGATTTCATAGTTAAAAAGACACATTTTAGAGTCATCAGTGTATATATGGAATTCAAAGCTTTAAAACCAATGAGATCACCTAGGGATGAATGCAGATAAAAAAAAAAGTATTCAAAGACTAAATTTTGGAGGACTCCAGAGTTTAGAAGATTAAGAAGAGGAACTAGCATAAGAGACTGAGAAGGAATGACCAGTGAGTAGGATAGTAGTAAGTACAAAAGCTTGCATGAAGTAGGTCCAAGAAAGAATGGAAGGAGAGAAAGTTTCCTGGTTAACAGAAACAATGTCTAGGGGTTTTGCTCTAAAAGGGACCAGCGTAATGGTGCAGAAAAGGGAGATGTGGACAACAATAAAGGAAAACTGTTTTAAGATAAGAGAACTTATGGTATGTTTACTTGGTGACTGAAATTATCCTGGAGAGAAGTAAAAATTAAAATAATGCAAAATGACAATATACTAATGATTATTTGGTGAGAGAGAATGGTGGATTTGGTTGTTTAATGAATAAAGAGAGACCATTTTAGAACAAATTTATGTGTATTAGTAGATTTGGTTGTGAAAGCTTATGAAAATTGAAAGCAAAATGGGGTAAAGAGTAAAGCGGGAGGAGTGATGAAGTAATCACATGTAATATGAGAAAGTGAATTAACTAAGGAAATTATTAGACACCAAAAAATCAGTGAACGAAGTCATTAATTTTAAGTGAGATTTGTCAGTATGATTGTATTCTCTTGGTCACATTCAATTGCTAGGCAGGGCAGAATAGAGTTTAGATTTATGAATTTCAGGCAACCTTATAAAACAAAAAGAGAAAGGGGCATTGGGGTGGTTTATGCAAGGGAGTGATTATAATGTCAGGCCCTTGTATTTAGGTCGTATGTATTCATGCAGGGGAGTAATTATAATATGATCCTTGTATTTAGGTTAGCTAAGGAAGAAAGTGAGACCACAAGGGAGATGAGACAGTGAAAATATGGTGGGTTCCACATATTAGCAGTTCCAGGGATCAAGTAATTGTTAATGTTGTTGGGAACTACAGAGTGAGTTAAAAAGATAGGAAGTGTTGGTTAGAGAGTGTAATTCAGATTATGGCACTTGTGTATTTATTAGTAATGTCAAAGTCAAGAATATCCAGCTGACATTACCTCAAGGTCATGTCATTTAGTATTTCGTTTGTAGTATTCTCCCAGCTTAGCTTATTTGTACTCTGAATTTTTTTTTAAAGCAGAATGTATTAAGAAGACAGAAAAGCTCCCACAGTGAAAGGGGACCTGAAAGAGGTTGCCCCATACTCTGAAATTTTAAATTCTAAATTATTTTCCATTAAAGTTTTGCTGCTTCCTCAGTAATTCACTTAAAAGTTGTGTTCTCTGCTTCTCAGCATGGCAGCAATTGTAAAAGTGATTTTAATACTAATGATTGTCTTTAGTCTTATTAATACTGACTGCTAACACATTTATAATCTATATAGAATTTAGTCCTAAATCCTGTGAACTAATCTAGGTAAGTATTATTATTATTCCCATTTCACAGAGTAGAAGTCTCAAATTCAGAGATTAAATGACTTTGTCAATCTCTTCACTCCAAATCCCAATGCTCTTTCAATTATATTGATCTAATCAGACAAATCTGTTATAACATGTTAATGGGTCTAGTATCTTAGGGAGTTTACCTCTCTAGATAGAGATTTAATAACCATCTAAAAGACTTACTCTGATAAGGCAGATTTTAGATTCTTTGTATCAGTGGAAGAGGTAGGACTTTGAGTAACAAAGTATAGTCAATTTCCTTTTCCCCTTGCTTATATGCAAAAGATACAAGGAGGGACCCCCAAATACTGGAATTATCTTTTGAAGGGGAAGCTCTTTGAAATACACTCAGAATTTGTTCCTCCACATCAAATAGTCAACCAAAGTTTTTATCTGGAAGTTTTGAGGAGGTAACATCACAATTTGCAGAAGACACATCCTGAGTCGTGTCAAACAGTTGACTGGTTCTTCAACCATGACAATGTACCTGCCCACGGTGTTCAGCAGTTCTTGATTAAAAAAAAAAAAATAGCATGACCTCATGCCTCACTCTCCATATTAGCCTATTAATTATCTTGCCCCAAGAAACATTTTTCTGTTTTTCTGATGAAAAAAGTCCACAGAGGGAAACATTTTGCTGATGAAGTAGAAAAGTGAAATAAAAAATGGCAGAAGCACTTAAAGACATCAAAATTGATGAGTTCAAAAACTGTTTTGAGCAGTGGAAAAAGCATCTTGATAGGTGTATTGCATCAAATGGAGAATACTTTGAAGGTGACTGAAGTTTAAACATGTAAGAATAAATATATAATTTTGAATACTAAATTCCATTGTTTTGGGTCCTCCTTGTATATAGCTTCGTTGACAAAAAGTCGTGTAGAAGTGTGTAAAAGACAGTATTAAGATACAAAGTCAATTATGATAAATTAGTGAATTTATAAATATTATATTTAATTCCAAAGGAACTTTGAAAAAACAGTCAAATAAGACTAAATGTGTATTAGGAGTCAAGGAATTGATATAAAATAAGGGAGAAAGTAAGACATTTTGGAGTTTTCTCCTTTGATACAGATAAGTATGCCCTACTTCCTTGACATTTTAGGTAAATGTGGCATACTCAGTAATCTCTGCTTCACACATTTTGTGTTAGGAAGGATCAGTCCATAAATAGCCTGGTTAAGAGTATTTCCTTTATGCTGACTTGACATTCTAATTCTAGACCATAAGTTGATAAATTCACTGAATCATTTGTGTAGAAGAACGGAGATTTGACATATATGGTCAAATGTGTTGCCCAGATCTATAAAATGTATGAATAAGGAGTCTCCTTTTTAAATCTAATTTTATTGCTTAATGAATTATTTTTGCCCACTCAATTTTTTAATGGAAGATTAAATGTTAAATTATTTGATGATATTAGGAAAACTGATAATAGAAAATTCAAATAGGAATTAAAAGTAAGAATTTTTATTGTGATTTTTATAAGGTAAAAACATTGACTACAAAAGATCTTATTACATTTAAACTTTTCAAGGGCTATCATTTCTTAAATTCTTTTACAATTCTTTTTAAACCTTTACCTTGAAGCAATTAGCTAGCTTTTAAAATAAAAACAAAAATATCTTAGAACCAATAAGATTTTGTTTAATAGGCATTATGATATAAGAAAGAAATTTGACCTAGTTTTCAGTACTTTTCTAAGCAATCTTAAGCAATCAATTAACCTGTCTAGACCTCATTGCCAATGATTTACTAGCTAAGTTCTAATATCTCATAAATTCTAAATATATTACCTTTTTTAAAAAAATTAAGTGTTGGATTCTTAAATATTAAGATATCACCAAAGCTATTTCTTAAGTCCCATAATTTTGTAACCAATGATCTAAAATTAAGCTTAAGTGGTAGAGGTGATGGCTGTGGTAGGGAGGAGGTCAGAAGACAATCTTTTCCTTAAAAGTTGTCTTTGACTATAGAACACAGGACTCTTTGCCAGTGAGGACTCATTTCTAATTTACAAAATGAAAATACTGCCAGGTGTGGTAACTCATGTCTGTAATCTCAGCACTTTGGGAGGCTGAGGTAGGAGAATCACTTGAGGCCAGGACTTTGAGATCTTCCTCAGCAACATAGTGAGACCCTAGTCTCTGAAAAAAACAAAAAGAAAGATAGAAAGATAAGAAAATACTTACTAAGGAACATATGAGGAGGGATCACCCCCCAAAAAAAAAATCTGTATTATTTTTTGGAGGGTGAGCTCCTTTAGTACAGGCTTCCCCTGCTAGATAAGTGTTCTACGAATCCATCAGCATCAGTGTACCAGCTAGCATTGTTGCAAAAGACTGCATTTGACTTCAGTGAATTTTTTTTGGAGATTCTTTCAACCAGTTTACCCATTTCATGATGGCTGATTTATGAGCACACTTGCCCACTCTGCACTGAGCGTTCAGCAGTTTTTGAGCAAAAATGTCATGACCCCCATGTCCCAGCCTCCCTATTCATCTGATCTCACCATGAGCAACTTCTTTTTTGTTTCCTGAATGAAAAACATCCTTGAAAAGAAACATTTTGCCAATGAGGTGGAAGAGTTGAAACAAAAAATGCCAGAAGCACTAAAAACCATAAAAATGGGCCAGTTCAAAAACCAGTTAAACATGTAAGAATGAATACATAATTTTTCATACATAAATTTCATTTTTGGGGGTCCCCCCTCATACAAGACATTTCTTTTGCCATTTCTTCTTTCTCAGTCATCTTTAGGGCTTTAAAAAGCATACCTGAATATGTGAAAGAAGATATCATATTTCCCTACTTCCCAAAGAGTGAAAATAGTAATTAGATCTAGGATTGAATAATGATTTATTCTTAGCTGACAATGATAATGAAATCAGAATTTGAATGATAAAGAATCTCCATTGTGACCCCGTGTTGTATGTGACAGTTTGAAAAAAAAGTTACTTCGCTACTACGCTTCACAAGAAAGATTATTTTAATACTGCACCAAAAAACTTCAGCTGAAACCTAATGTCATATTTCTTTTGAAATGTGAAAGATGAAGATTCTCAGACTATGGAAAGCATCTATTTCTATAACAGAATAAAAAGAATATTGAAAATTCAAGATATTTGACAATTAGAGGCTAATAAAAAGATACATTTAAAAAGTAAATAACCCATGCCTATCTCCATTTGAAATAATTTTATTTAATACCATATAATGCATATAGCATCTGATGATACATACTTGAAGATATGTGATATATTACATGTAATTTATGCTTCACCAAATGTTTTATAACTATTTTATCTAGGGTCCTAAAGGAGATCCAGGATTTTCCTCAGATCAAGCTATTTCTGGAGAAAAGGTAATTATTTGTCTATGAAATAAAATCACGGTAATATATTTGACACATTTACAACAGATTTTTATCTTTTTAAAATATAAAGTTTACTGTATCAGACAGAGAAGGCAACAGAGAACTACTGGATTTTAATAAAGGAAGAAATATTTGAAGAACTAAGGAAATTATACCATCAATTTAACTTACTGATTTAAAGCTTAACATTAACTTTACTGAGTGTCTGCTGTGGCCAGCCATTGTGCTACTTGCCAGTTAAAGGTAGATAGGGTAAAAATTTAGAACAATAGCCAGGTGTGATAGCATGTGTCTGTAGTTCCAGCTACTAGGAAGGCTGAGGTGGAAGGATGGCCTGAGCTCCGCCGGTCGAGGCTGCAGTGGCCGTGAGCATGCCACTACACTCCAGCCTGGGCAACAAGAGTGAGACTCCAACTCAAAAAAAAAAAAAAAAAATTTAGAACAAGATGTGGTCCTAACTGCAGAGATTTTGCTGTTAATGTACATAGCATATATATACACATATATACATAACACAATAACATATACATTTCAATACCATTTCATATCTTTTTAGGATAGTTCCATATCTTTTTAGGATAGTTCTTATACTTTTGTTTAGGTATTACAGTAACTCTCTATGAGAGAAGTAGTCATCATTATTTTGTTTTCTGGTTGAAAAAACAGAATTGATAGATTTTAAATGACTTATATGGATAGTAAGTGGGCAGAGTTAATACTCTTAGTCCAGTATGCTTTCATTTCATCATAATGTTCTCAATACAAACGTACACATGTTAGGTACAAACACTGTTTTTAAAGTAAAGATAGCAACACAATCTTTATTGGGAGGAAGGTCCTGTTTTCCAGTGAGGATAAATACAAACAGAGCCTTTAGAAGGACATCTGGGAAATCTGTTTAGACAAGCACTTTATAAATATGATACAATTATAGAATATTTTATGCTGTATATATTCGCAAACTTTAAAAATGTTTGAACAATTTTGGTGGTTCCTAGGTTGAAATCCGATCTTTTTATTGGTTTACAGAAACTCTTGTAAACTTAAAAAAAAAAAATCACATCATAATAATGAACTCTACCAGTATCAGACTTAACAAGTAAATCCTCAAAAAGTTTTCAAATTTTTTATTGATATAGAATAGTTTTACATATTTTGGGGTTACTTGCTAATTTTTTTTAAATCTAGCATTTTAGGAATTTTATTACTCTGACAACTGAGTTCACTGAATCTAAATAATTTAGGGAATGGAAGCTTATTACTAGAAACACAATATTTTCACTAGTCTCTTTGTTATTGCAAGGAAAAAATTCTGCAATCTGAGAAATGTAAATGCAGTCTTTAAAAATATCTAAATATAGTACATTTAATTTCTTAATTAAAATGTATAAATTAGAGGCCTACTCTGTTATGGCAACTGCTTTAAATAAAATCCCCAGATTAAACATTTCCATTTATATCAAATGCTTGGTTTTATCTTTGCTTGTGGCTTCTCTGTACAAAAGATAGGGTGGTTCAATATGGGAGTTGAGACTTGGAAATATGTATGTATTTTTTTACTTTTTTGAGCTGTTCGTATCTTAACTGTGGTTAATATTATATAAGAGAAATGTAGTAAGACATAAAATTTAATAGCATGTTATTGAACTTTGAGTGAAATCTAACTTTTAAAATTTGAAGATGTATTCCTAAAATAGCAAAATTTAAAAATAATCTCTTAAAAATTGTATTTACATTAAATTGTATTTAAATATACTTAGGAAATAGATTAGTTGTATACATCAAACCTGAATAGAAGTAAAATACAAACATTACATTTGTGGAAGTAGATGAGGATTGGAAAACAATTTTAACTAGCCTTTTTTTTTTTTTTTTACAATGAACATACGGTTAATTATGAAACAATAAAATAAACGCAAGCGCTAGTTCTCCGCCATCAAGTAACATCTATAGTAGACTGTAGGTTTTAAAGCCCTTTTTGGGACTTCAAAGGCACGCATCGATCGTTTTTAAATGGTGTGATTTTTTTCTGTTCTCATAAGACAAGGGAGACATCATCATCCTCCTGCTCCTCCTCTTCTTCATTTTTCAGATAGAGGAACTTTGAAGACAAGTGATTTGTCCAGGAACGAAGTTAGTGGAAAGGGACCAGACTCGAGTTTCCTCATTCCTAGTGCAGTTTCCTTTTCTATCAGAGTAATAAACGTTAAACAAACAAACCAACAAACCTGTATACACCAGTCATTCCATCATAAATGGAAGCTATCTCAAGAAAACCTTCCGAAGCATTACAAAGAATATTATTAGAACGCAGGGCAAGGCACTTCACCGTTAATAATCAGAAATGTTCTTTTCTCTTTCGAGTGCTTAATTGGATGATGTTAAACAACATTTGTTTTTCATGGAAGAGGAAGAAAAAAGGAGGTAAAGAAGAAGTGTACCTTGAATCAACTGGCTCAAAATGATCCCTGTTTCCATCTCCGCGTCCTCCCACCTCTTTTGACATATTTTTTTCCTTGTCAAATCACACAGCGTCCTCTGCGTCCACCTTGTCACTTCTACCTGCCACAGGCATTCCTTCCCCCTCACTGGGATACTTTCTTCTTCCTTCCCCAAGATGGGCTCACAGGTGCTCAAGAAGGTGGAGGGACGACTTCCCTATTCGGTAAACTCTAGCCTGTTTGAGCCAAACACGTCGCCATGGAATTCTCAACAAATTTTCTCTGAAATTAGGAAGGGGAGGGCGGGGGGAGGCGAAGGGACCAAAGAGCATACGTGGCCGGAGCGGATACCAGCGCAGCCCCGGAAGCGGATATGCCCCTTTTCATGTCCCTCACGTGATTTCGGCCGGTCTACCTACTGCCCTCGAGATTCGGTCTGGGACTCCCAGGAGGCCCCAGGTCTTCGTGGAAAAGGGCAGGGCTGACTCCTCCAGGTCTGCCTCATAGAGCACTCGTAGAATGCTTAAGGAAGCTACTTTAGATTTTTAAAACACTGACAAGAAGTTTGGTAGTAAGTGTGTTCCTAGACGAAAGAACGTCAGAGAAAAAGAAGCAAAAGTATGGAGGTGGGAAAAATGTAGTCCAGGTATGAAGCACTGGAAGAGAGAAGGGCTGGGAATCTCAGAAAAGGACTCAAAGTTTGGGATACTTGGAAATGAATGTAGTAAGAGCTTGACATCCAAGATTGGGGGGCGATCTGATTTTCAAGAGAACCCTAATATTCAGTTCTCTTTCATGACATTAAATTTCTGTGTTTTGTTTATAGGGTGATCAAGGCCTTTCGGGAATCATGGGCCCCCGTGGTCTGCAAGGTGATAAGGTAAGACGTAGTTTTACTTTGACGTAATTGGATGTCATGTGGATCTTGGATGTTTTCAACTCCTGTGATCTCATTTTGAAGTTGAGCCCAAACCCAATGACTTAAATTTCTTTTCTCAGCAAAAGGAAAGTAGGATGCTGTCCTAATTCATGAACATGGTGCCCACGAAAGGCAGGATCTTGCGAAAAATTAAAGAAGAACCTTCAGTGAATGTTAGGCACAAAATTCACATGCAAGAGAAAGTCAAAGTCACGGATAGAATATTGAGGCTTTCTCTTTTTAAGTTATATTAATGACCTATTTCTGAGATCCTGAAGTTACTTTATAACTTTTATAGGTCCGAAGTGAGGTTTACCTGCTTACAGGTATTCCTCTTGGATTTTTGAAGGGATTCTCATTTTATTTGGAAATAATAATCTCTGTCATGATGTAAATACACATGTGAGACTTGAAAGTACTATAGGAGTGAAGATTGGGGAGAATTAGTAAAAAACGGTAGCAGTATGCATATGACTAGGCCTTTTCTATGGTAGAAAGAAAGGAATACTAAAACAGCTGCCTTAAAATAAAATATGTTGTGCAGTTTCCTGGATTAACACAAACACAAATTCTTCTCTGTCTATTTAGTGTGGTTTTTTCCCAAACACTTAAGTTATTGATTTTCTTCATGGAGTGAGGAAGACACAAAATTTATTTTTAAGGTATTAGGAGCTCCAAAATATTTTAAGACAATATTTGAGTTAATTTGTTTATTTTAATACATAAATAATACATGTAAATACATATATAATAATGAGCTGTGTTGATGTCTTAGTATGTAATACTCCTTTCTTCTTGGGAAACATAGTTTGCAAGTGGTTGAGACTCTGGTTGCTAGGTTCAAATTCCATCTGCCATTTTCTAGGTTTCATCAGCCTTAGCCAGGTTGCTTAACCTATCTAAGCTTCAGTTACCTCATTTGTACAGCTGGAAATTCCTGATGCACTTCATAGGTAGTTTTGAGGAAGATGGAATGAGAGAATTCATGCCACACAGACAGTGTCAGACAGATAGCCAGCCCTTAATAAATATTAACCATCAGCTATTTATCTGGTTTTGGAAGGAATCCTGACCTCTTCTGCTTTTTTCATAACCCCTTTTAAAGCGCTAAATTGTAAAATGATGAAATACTTAGACTGTTTTCTCTCCAATGATCACACCATTATTTTTATGTTCTTCAGACTAGCCTTCAACCTAGACAGTAGTTAGGATCTTATAAATCCTTTGAGGTTGTTGGTTTTACAATATTTTGGAGCCCTTAATACCTTAGAAATCCTTTGAGGTGGTTGGCAACCTGAAACTGCAGTGATAACAGTTATCAACTGTCATTAATCTGTTTAATGCTACTACTGAGTAGTACATGACTACTCATGTATCTCTTAGGAAACTAATGTATGTATAGCATCAAAGTAGATCTTTTAATATGGATATGATCTCAATTACTTTATCTGACATTATTTGATTAAATATACATTTATTACATCTACACAGTGACACTGTATGTAGGAAAAGAATAAACTAGTCATTACTTTCTATTTGGTTCATGAAATTAGCAATCCAGAAAGGGAAACACTAGGTAAATACTGAGCAGTTTTTGTGTAGAAGAGTGAATAACATGCAATCTCAATGGGAAAAAATGTTACTTATAAACAGAAGAAAAAAGACTTTTATTTTAACAGTTAGTACAAATTATCATTTTAACTTTGAAGTTGTACTTACTTAAAGCAAAAGATGTTAACTTTCAGAGACCTGTGTAGATGTCATATGGCTTTTAAATATTTAAAAATATTTAGAGGAATATATTCTTTTTGGTCTGTGCAAGTATAGTAAAGTGAAATAACAGCATTATTTTAAACAAACTGGGCCATGAGTTGAATGTCTTTCACAGATTTCTTTTTTTCTTATATAATTGTTTAAACATTTTAAATCTGGCTTTTATTGTTAGCTAATAGAAATATACCGTATATAATTCTGGGTTCTTGATATATTGCCAATTAGCAGCTGTTGCTGAATTTTCTCTAGAAAAGTTTTAGTTGAAAGTATTTAGAAACTGAATTACTTTATGACAAACAAAGCGTCCCTAGTTTATTATAGTTTGACAGTAGTGCAGAACAGTGTTGAAATATTTTCGACAATTTTGTAGTATTTCTGAGAATGTTCTTCCTCTTTCAGAGTGTATCTATTAATGGAAACTATTTACAGATTTTTGAAAAACAATTATTGCTAGGAAAAGGACATTAGGAACTCAGTCCAAACCCAAACTAATTCTCTACCTAGCAGACTTGGGACAAGTTTCTATCATACTCTGAATGTATGTTTTACTTTAATGGTTATATAGTATATATATATTCAAAATGAGCTTGATATACTGTTCTTGTGGTCTGTATGGAAGGAGAAAAGCAAGACTGATTGTTAGGTAGGATGTTCTGGTAAATTATGAGTTGTTTTTATTGAATTAACTTATTTGGTTCATTTTTTGGACCACTTAAGTCACCCATAGATTACTGTCTGTAAATAGGATCCCTGTTAGCAGAACCTAGAATAATGGCACATATTAGCTGTAATCTAGGGACTCCTGTTCCTTCATCCTAGCAATTATCCTGCAAAGTGCAAAATGAATCCTTAAGATCAAGATGAGAATTGAAGTTATTCATTTTTTCAGTGAGAAAAATAAGATAAGCCCGAAGAGATTAAAACAATTGCTCAGGGCTATTTTGAGAGTTATGACTGGATCAAAAGATTAAAGTTACTGATACTTAATCTGGTGTGCTTTTAACTATTCAGTGCATATTATGAGAGATCAATAAGGTACTTGGGTTTTGAGTAACATGAAGTACGTATGTATTTTTATCTGTTAAACTATTTTACAAATTATTGTAGGGCCAGGCTCGATGGCTCAGCCTGTAATCCCAGCACTTTGGGAGACCGAGGCGAGTGGATTGCCTGAGCCCGCGGGTTCGAGACCTGCCCTGGCAATTTGGCAAGACCTTGTCTCTACAATAAATCAAAAGTTAGCTGGGCGTGGTAGCTCATGCCTGTAGTTCTGGCTACTTGAAAGACTGAGGTGGAAGGATCACCGGAGCCCAGCAGGTCGAGGCTGCAGTGGCCGGGAGCAGCATGCCACTGCACTCCAGTCTGGGCAACAGAGTGAGACTCCAACACAAAAAGAAAAAACAAAAACCAAATTATTATTGTAACTGTTACTACTAATATTAAAAGTCGCTGTTTTATTATATACAATGTTCCAGTCTCTCTGCTGAGCACTGCTTCTTTAATCTTAAAAATGACCCATTGTAACCTGCATGTTGGCATGCGTCTGTAATCCCAGCTGGTCCAGGAGGCCAAGGCAGAAGTATTGTCTGAGCCTAGGAGTTTGAGGTTGTAGTGCACCATGATCCTGCTTGTGAATAGCCACTGCACTCCCGTATGGATAGCATAGCAAGACCCTGTCTCCTAAAAAACAACAACAAACAACCCATTGAGACAGATGCCATGTTCATGTTCAGTATGCCATAAATAAATTAATTGAGGTGTCCTATAAATCCTATAGGCTTTCTTCATCCTTTTTTTCTTTTCTCTTTCTTTCTCTTCCTTCCTTCCTTCCTTCCTTCTTCCTTCCTTCCTTCCTTCCTTCCTTCCTTTCTTTTTTTTTGTCTTCCTGTAAACAACTTGTCTTCAAGTTCGGAAATTCTTTCTGTTACATCTAATCTACTGCTGAAGCTCTCAGTTGTATTATTTCATTCATAGAATTCTTCAGCTGTAGGATTTCTGTTGGTTATTTTTGATTATCTCTATCTCTTTGTTGAATTTCTCATTCAGATTATGAATTGTTTCTCTGATTTTGTTGAATTGTCTATCTGTATTGCACTGAGTTTCCTTAAGTTATTCTTTTAAATTCTTTTTCTGGCATTTTGTATATTTCCTTATATTTGGGGTCTGTTACTGGATAATTTTTGTGTTTCTTTGGAGGTGTCATGTTTCCTTGCTTTTTCATGTTTGATGTGTTCCTATGTTGATTTCTATGCATCTGGTAGAAAAATTCCCTCTTCCAATTTTATGGAGTAGGTTTTGTAGGGAAATATTTATTTGTATGAATGGGTCTTGGGGTATCAGTTAGGTGGGATATGTTGGCTTTGGTTCTAATTGGATGTGGTGGCATGGTCTCCATGCAGTTTCTTCAACTGTAGTTTTTGGGAGAGTTTTTGGTGGTGGTGGTGGTGTGGCTTGTCTGGGAGTTGCCAGGATGTTTCTCAGATCAGGGACACATGCATACACATGGTAGGTTGGCCAACTTGGAGCTGAGGTTGGGGTTATGGAGCCATTACTCTGGTCAGGAGCACTTTAAGTCAATATTTGTTAGATATTGGTATTCAAGTACTTTTGATTATCTCAGCATGTATGCAAAAGGAAGTAAAATATTGTTTTTTATGAAAGCCAAGGGAACAAATATAGTTTTGGATGACAGATAATAATGACTTCATTATCCATTTTCTCTGGAAAGTCTCTGGAAATATTAAAATTCCTCTAATATAAACCAAACTAAAGCTAAAATAGCTCCAAGAAAGTTGCATGGAACACACTAACAACTCATGAAAACTGTTGAGATAAATTCACAGATTAATGTTAAAAAAAAAGAACTTTGAAAATTAGTGACATTGAGATGGAAATAAGAGCAAACCAATCAGTGCCAATATTTTCTTCACTATTCAATAGATTTTCTGGCTTCTTTCTTTCTTTTTTTCTTTGTATTTCCTCATTCTCATTTTTAAAACAACCATTAACATCTTTAATGAATGATATGTTTCCCCACATTGACTGGTTACATTGTCTTAGTTTAGTCACCTTCTTATAATTCTTATTTTCCTAAGAACTAAAGTATAATTTCACTTCTCACTAAGTGTCTAAATTTTTGCCAAAAAGCAGATAAATTGGATCCAGAGTGCATGTTGCGTTGGATGGAA